CATTTGGTGTCATTTAACATTAACTCATGTTTAAAATCTCTCACCTCTTTTTCTGTCCGTGTGACTGAATTTCTCCCAGAGCTGATTTTTATTATTTTTAAGAGACTTTAGGTGCTGAGAAATCCTTGTCTTAAGTCCATTAAGTTTCTCTTGGCTCACCTCCCTTTCCCATGTTATTCTCTCTGTCTCCAGAAAGAGCAGGAGCCAAGCCCAGCATCAAGGTGTGTTATTTCTGATCTCTGCTTCTTGTCCGTGGTCTATCACCTTTTGCATGTCGTGTTCAACCCCTGCATTTCAGGGTAGGTTTTTCCCTAGGAAATGAGAATAATCCCATTTTCAGAAGTGGTTAGGCGCTCAGCACGTCCTGGTGTGTCCACCCACCATTAGCTGAGCACAGCTGAAAACTTCCTCCTGAAATATCGAGGGCAATATTTTTTCTGTGTGTTTTATTATAACTTTTTCAGGTCTTATTATTGCTGCTTTTATTCTGTGCTCGTTTGGAGCTGTGCATACAGCAAATAATTTGCCAGGGTCAACTTTTGTTTTGATAGATGGTTCTTTTGCATCTCTGCAGTCCTTTATTACCTTCCCAGTTGTCCTTGACTTAGGGGAAAAAAATTATTATCTGTGTTAATTAACAAAAAATAATTTCCAGCTCTAATAGGAGTCTATCATCAAGATAGGCTGATTTGCAGGCATTTGGGCTGTCCAATGATTCCCTTATCTGCCCTTCACCAGCAATTATTTTCACAAGGTCTTTTTTTCCCCCTGCACGAGGTGCTCAAACTTATCCAAGTATTTTGTGGTTGGTTGTTCTCGGTGTTAGTATTCTGGAAGCATCAGATAGGGGTGGTCTTGTGCTGGGCACTGTACTAATGGAGCACAAGAGACCAGAGAGCCATGAAAGACTTTGAATAAATGCTGAGGCAGCAATGAAGGACAGACAGACAGACGAAGCAGCTTGTCCAGGGTCCCTTTGGTCTCCCTGCTGCAGCAAGGGCTTGCCAGGTTCCTTTTGGTCCACTCTTGAAGGGAGAAGGTAGAGAAAGGTTATTAAGTCTGTATAATGTCTTAAACAAAAAATCATAAAAGTTTCATTCCTGATATGGAAAAGTATTTAAGATTCATACTTGCAATGAAGCTATCTAATCAAATTTGGATTTTCATTGTTTCAGTGCTGCAGTGAGCCTGGTGCTCCTTACATGAGCAGCAAAATCCACCCCAGTGGATTGCCCCGTGGATTAGAGAGACCCGAGAGATGGCACTTATTACACCCGAGTGTGTGTTTCTCTTGGCGGTTCAGGCACTTGCATAATTTCCCCTACCTGTTACATTGGTGGTCAGCAATTTTCTGATTGTTGGTTTAAAGCTGACAGAGCTTGAAGGGAACCTGAGATACCAGTGGAGTCCGATGACTGGGAACACGGTCACTTGTGTCATTTGCCTTCCCTTGGGCTCCTTCCCTCCCGTGTCCTGGTCTCTGTGGATCAGCTCAGGTGGAGCTGGCTGCCCCTGGCTCTCTTTCTGCAGCTGGGTCGCAGAGGTGACATTGGCTCTAGACTCTGTTTTCTCTCAAACCAGGGAAGTTTCACATCCCCAGTGTATGATTTTGGCCACTGCTCTCTGCTCCGCAGTCTGCTTGGGTGGGTGTGAGCATCCCACCTGCCGCATCCCACCTGCCACAGCCCTGCTCTGCGCTCTCTCCCCTCCAGCCAGCCGCTGCAAAAGGGCCACCATCCCCTGGGTGTCACCTGCCAAGACCAACCTGTGCCCAGTGCTGTCCCTCGTCCTTCCACGGGGAAAGTCAGAGGAGGCAAAGACCAGCCAGGAGCAGCTCTGTTTGCAGGACCTGCTGCTTTGAGCATCTTACTGGAGCCGAAGCAAAAAGGGTGCAGCAGGATCTGGCCTGAGCCAACACCAGGGCTTTGCAGTGGCTGTTGCAACACATCTGTCACCTGCTCCCTCTTCCCTTGGAGCTGCAGGCTTGCATCAGCCTGGCTTGAAGGCGTTGGCTCCCTTCTTGGCTGCCTGTAGGACTGTGGGTTTCTCTCTTACCTACATCATCTCTTTTGCCTTCTTCGCTGTGCAGCTGCCTGGTTAACAGTGGTTATAAAGACAGCAAGCAGAGGGCATTGGCTGACCACGTGGGGACAAAACTCAGGGGCCCTGACAGTGGTGGTGGTGGGGATTGGGCTCTCCTGTGCTGCCACAGCCCTTGCAATCCACCAGCCCCTCTGCGTGGCACAGAGGAAGGAACTGTCCCCAGATGAATGAAGCAATTCTGCTTGAGGTCACCGATGGAGCTGACCACAGAACCAAGCTCTGCTGCATCCAGGCTGCATCTGGTGCTTTTGCTCCAGGTTCTTTTCTCCTGTCAATGCCACTCGGAGCATCCTTCCAGCCTCGCTGAGCATCCTCTGTCCTTTCATCAAGAGCAAGGGTAAACACGAGTACTTCTCTGGCTTCTCATTATTACCAGCATTATTTTATAGAGCTCCATCAAGCTCCCCACACATTATCTCCTCTCTAAATTTAACAGACCTAATCTTTTCGATCTGTCCTTTCACAGACACCTTCGTCTGCCACTAATCATTTTTGTTTCCCTTCTCTAGAACTTTTCCCTCTGCGTCTCCTTGCTGGGCAGGCAGAGATGTACCCAGGGAATGCGCTCACAACAGGGGCACATGTTCACTTGGATGTCACCATTACACTAGTTTGAGCTATTCTTGATATGTTTCTTACTGTGGTTTCCCATCACGTGTTTTTGTTGCAGGCTTACTTGATCGTTCTGAAATCCCAGCTGCACCCTGAGCAAAGTGGTCCATGGGCTGTTGGTAATTGTCTTTCACTTGTGTCCACTCTGTTCATTCAGGAGGTATCATTCACATCTCTGCAGTTGCAAAGTCTTGCCTCGTTCTTCCAAGCACCTTTACCAGCCCTTTCTGACACCTCTAGTCTGAACTAACCCCAACAGTTTAGTGCTGCTGGTAGATCTGGACTCCCTCCTGGGCTCACACCCACACTGCTGTTACAGGCAGCTCAGGATTTTCTTCCCCACCTCCTGGATGTTCAATAACACACAGGTTCTCCTGTTCCTGTGCATCTCTTTATTGCTTCTCAGAGGAGTCCTGTGCCGTCTCTCCCTCTTCATCCATTTTTGCAAGGCCAGAGGAGCCCAAAGGTCTCCATATATTGACCATCGATGGCCCTGCAGTGGCCAGGGAGGGAAGCTGCCATGCCTCTTGGAACGTGGAAACTCTGCCTCTGTAATCCCTTAAACAGCTTGAGCTGCTTCTGGCCCAAGCAGCAGGATCTCTCCGTCTGTTCTTCCCCATTCGTGTGCTCTCTCTGCTGAGGATGTCCCTGTGGGGATGCCTGGAGGAGCCACGGTCGGGTTTTATCAGCACTGTATCTGACACAGGGCCGTGGCCACTCTGCCCCAGTTCCCATCAGCCCTTCGCTGGATGCACCAGTGGAAAGGAAATGTCCTGGGAAGACAAAGTGAGAGTGGTGGATGCCTTGGCAGGGGTCCTGTGAGCCTTGAAGCCTCTATGGTTGTTGGATCGATGATCCCAATGGCACAGGCAGAGCAGCCCAGGCTCACAGGAATGGATTGGGAGTGTGCGATTTCCCCTATGTGTGCCAGCCCTCCATCCACAGCCCCTGGCCCTCTGCCACCTTGGCTGGCAATGCTGTGTCTGGAGAGGAGCGGATGCACGCCCCAGTCCTGTGCTCTGGTGAGCTCAGCATGGCTATAGCCTAAAGCAGAGGCGATGCCCGAGTGCAGGGGCTGTGCTGTGGTTTCCAGATCAGCTGCTGGCTTCCCCTCCCTGCCGGAGCAGTTGCTGGCTCTCTCGTGCTCTACGCTGAGCTGAGCTTTGGTGGTATCGGGGTGTCCACTGTCTCACCCCAGCAGAGTTCAGGGCAGCACTGGTGGAAACCTGGGTGACAGCAGAGTCTCAGCCCGCCATGTAGGCTTGGCAGTGGTTAATCATGGCTTCTTACGGGAGTAAGTGATGTTAAGAGTCTGGAGGATTCATCCCAGTCCTCTCAGGTTTCCCAGCAGCAGAATGAGATGGACCGAGCTGAAAGGATTGTATTAACTCTTTCTGTTATTTTTTTTTTTAGCCTTAGAAATTCTTCCTGCTCCCTCTTTTCTCCTCTTCTCCTCCAAGATGGAGGTGAGTTATTCAAAGGAGTGTCTCATTCCGCTCGCCTTGCAGCGTGAAGAAAAGCAGGCTGTGTTGTGACAGAGCTGAACAGAAGCCTATGGTTAAGCAAAGATATGAAAGAGCAATTTCAAAGAGGCAGCTTATCAGAAACGGGGTGAATTGTGATACGAGAGTGAGGAGGAGTGGCACTGAATGCCCTAGAAACAAAGAGGAAGAGGGCTGGGATGGAGGGGGAGTGCCAGATGAGTGCTGTCTGAACGTGTCCAGGCTGCCAGGGACGCTCCTGATGACAGCAGAGGCCCTGGCCACAAAATGAAAGCTCTCAGGAGCAGCTGTGGAGGAAATGGGAGGAGAGGAGAGATGAAATCCAGCTGTCTCAGATCCTGCAGTGAGACGCTGGAGTGGAGCCCTCGCTGCTGCACACAGAGATCTGAGGGTTGGGGCTTCTGCAGATGGCTCCGGCCCTCCCAGGTCAGCAGCAGGGACTGGGGCTGGAGGTCGTGGGGTTCTCTGGGGGCTGTTTTAACCAAGTGGGTCGGCAGGTCTAGTTAATGGAGGAGACTGGGCAGACTGGTCTGACTTGGGATCCTAAATGGGCTCCTCCAGACTCCACAGCCTGGTCCTTGACTGTCTGTCAGCTTGAGCGCTTGGTCTCCAGCCACCAGCACTTGGCCCCTCTCCCTCATCTTTCTTGGTCCCTCCAGTTGCTGTGTCCTTAGTTTGGTGGTGGGTTAGACTGAGCAGCTCTTCCCTGGTGGGAGAGGAAGGCATATTCCCAACGGGAAAGCCCCCAGGGCCTGCCAGGCTCACTCCGTGCTGATCCCACAGGTAGGCGACCAGATCCTGGAGGTGAACGGCAGGAGCTTCCTCAGCATCCCCCACGACGAGGCGGTGAAGCTGCTCAAGTCTTCCCGCCACCTCATCATGACGGTGAAGGACATCGGGAGGCTGCCCCACGCCCGCACCACCGTGGACGAGACCAGGTGGATAGCCAGCTCGCAGATCGGAGAGACCCTCGTCAGCTCAGCAGGGTACGTGCTTGGTACACCCCGCACGAGCTTGCGGTGCCGGTCTGTCAACCCAGAGCTCCCGCGGGTGGGTGTGGAGCCCAGGGTGTGAAGTGGAGGCAGCCTGATGCACTGCAATGTGTGCGGGCAGCCTGGCGATGGGAGCAACCCCAGTGCTTGGGCTTGTGGCCCCATATCCAGTGCTTAGAGGACAGCATCTCCAGGCTGCGAGGTGGATCAGGTCTGGACAACGTGCTGCTGCCCCTTCCCTGTTCTCTCGGGCCAGAAGCTTTTAGCTTACAGGCAGGAGAGGAGAGTACAGAACAGATCTCGTGCCAGGCCTGAGGTGATGAGCGATGGGCACGTGGCGCTCAGTGGTAACTGATCTTCTCCCTCCTTGCAGGGCAGTGGGCAACCATGCTGCGGAGGCGACAGCCAGGGTAAGAGATGTCAGACCTTCCTGATGCCCTGTGAAAAGATCCCTGTTACTGTCTCTTATTTTCCACAGGAGAGAGGGCTTTGTGCTCCTGATTATAAAAGGGATGCTAGTTTTATCAGGACCAGTGGGGTTAACTGGCTCTAGCCTTTCTCCTCCCCACCTCATCTTAGAATCACAGAATCGTTTGGGTTGGAAGGGACCATGGAGGTCATCCAGTCCCACCCCCAGCCATGAGCAGGGACATCTCCCACTAGATGAGGCTGCCCAGAGCCCCATCCAACCTGACCTTGAACATTTCCAGGGATGGGGCATCTGCCACCTCCCTGGGCAACCTGGGACAGTGTTTCACCACCCTAAGCATAAAATATTTCTTCCTTATATCTAGTCCAAACCTCTCCTCTTTTAGTTTAAAACCATTCCCACTTGTCCTGTTGCTACAGTTGCTGCCAGCTGCGTTTCTGCAAACAGGGACACTGGATACCCCCCTCCTGTGCTTCTGTGCGTCAGTTCTGCAGCACATCTGGTGCCTCCTCACCAGGGAGTTAATGGGCATTAATGGGCAAGGGGCAGTGATCACACAGGCAAGGACCATGGGGACCCCCTCCACCCTGCAGAGGTGACCGTGGTGGCTGTCTCTGGGCCCTGACAGCCCCCGGGACCTTTCCCCGCTGAAGCAGAGCCGGTGGCAGGGCTGCAGCAGCCTCAGGGACTCACCCAGTGCTGGGACTGCAGCTCTCCTGCCGGTGTGTCTTCTCTGAACACCTCTTTGCAAAGTGCATTCCTTTTAAATGGAAACGAAGCAGCAAGGTTTCCCAGAGCTCTCGCTGAGCTTTGCACTGTTTGCTGGTGAAACACCCTCCCCAGCCTCAACTCCCCTCAGTGTCCCCTGGATAGTCAGGGTCTTGTCTGGCTCTGAAAAGCTCGTTTCTTTGGGAGGGATTTCTTGCTGTTCCGCTCCCTGGCAGCGCTGGCACAGTCAGCACAGGAAAAAAAGCCTTTTGTCTGCAGCCAGACATGTCTCTCCCTGGGACTCCTTCAGTTGCCAGTGGCTCTTTCTTCACCAGGGTCTGCTTCGAGCATGCAGTGGGGGCAAATGTACCTTTTACACAAGATGGGAAGCTTGCCTCTCTCTCATGGCCCCAATTCCCCTGTTAACCTGCTGTTAAATCAATAGCTGGTCAAGGGACAGCATCCATCCGTGCTGAACAGAGCTGGGAAGCTGTTTCATTTATTCAACTGCTGCTACATAAACTCATGGCTCTGGAGTTACCCAAAGTAGTGACACTAAGTGAGCGGCTGTGCCGTGAATCCTTGGGGGTGACTGTCGTTCTCAGCATCCCCCTTCCAGCCCTGCTTTCCAGCTTTGCCACCGGGAGCTGAGTGAGAGCAGCCGTGTGAAACGCAGGCAGAGCCCAGGGCAAGGGGACGGTTCTTGGTCCTGCCTGTGCTTCCCAGCTGCCCTCCCTTCAGCAGCTGATTCCTCAGCATCCCAGGGCAAAGCCCATCTCCTGTCTTCTCCTGCAGCCCGTGTTTTACCGGGGCCTGGCCGGCTCCCAGGTGACGCTGAGCAGCATGGTGAACCAGACCCGCGTCATGCTGGAGGAACAGGCACGGCACTTGCTGAACGAACACGAGCGGGCGACCATGGGGTACTACCTGGATGAGTATAAGGAAGGCAACATCTCCGTGGATGCTCTGGTCATGGCACTTTTCGAACTGCTCAACACGCATGCTAAGGTGAGTCCCACACCAAAGTCAGGGGTGGTTTCTTGTACCCGGTGGGTTAAGCAGAGCCATTGTCACAGCGTGGCTCAGTGCCTCCAAGGTTGTCTGCTCAGGGTCAAGGGTGAGGGTATGAAAACAAAATCTAGGACCTGATGGGGGATACAGTCTGGCGTTCAGTGGCAGAGGAGCTTCTGGTAAAGTTTAGGACTGAATCTCCTCGTGCGTTACCTGCCTGTACGTCTGGTTACCGCTGCTGGGCAGTGTGGGAGGATGAGTGTTCAACCACCCGGGAGGATGGTCATGCTCCAACCTCTCTTTGGTTGTCTGTCTGCCTGGCCCAGTTCTCACTGCTTTCAGAGGTGCGGGGGGTGATCTCCCCGCAAGACCTCGACCGCTTCGACAACCTGGTGCTGAAGAGAGAGATCGAGTCCATGAAGGCTCGGCAGCCCTCGGGGCCCAGCGTCGGCACCGACTCCTACTCTATGATGTCCTACAGCGACACCGTCTCTTCCTCCAGCAGCCACTTCACTGCCACCACCGTCAGTTCAGCCCGGGTAAGTCCCTCCTGACTGTTCTTTTTTCTTCCAACACCTGCTCCTGGCAGCCCTACAACAAACTCACGACCCTGGGGTGCTCTAAAGGCATCTCACCCCACAGGAAACCCTGTTCAGTCTGCTCCCCCCATGGATTCCACAAAAGTGGTTTTTTTTTTTCCTTGTGGGCTGGGTGCAATAGCACGATTTGTAGGTGCAATAAGGTGATGCTGTGACGTGTCTCTGTGCCCCTGAGACTGAGATGCTGCTGTCCTCTGCATGGGGGATGAGCCCGGTGCTAAGTGTCACTTTGTCCCCCATGAAGGAGGCAGCCCTGAGCCTTCCAGGACCTCCACGGTGCAGTGAGAGCTGCACCCACACAGGAGTCCCAGCAACTTGTCGCAGCCACACCGTGCCTGCTGCTATTCACCAGCTCTGGCTGTCTCTTTTAAATCACCTCCCTACAGACCCTGGCTGCCCGTTCCCCATCCCAGCGGGACTGCAGGGGCCAGGCCAGCAGCGTCCTGTCCCAGCCCCTGCCCACTCCCCAGCATTAAGCAGCAGTGCTCCCACGTCTCTGTGCCAGGACTTCATTGCACGCACCGTCTAATTAAGTCATTGTAATCACCTCAGAGTGTGCAGGCACACAGCCCCCAAATTAATTTTCTAGCCATAAAATGTCTTTCATCATAAATGCATTAGCAACCTTGGAAATTAAAACCTTCATGAAAGAAGGGATGACAATGGGCTTTCTGCTGGTTTGACACAAGCAAACCAGCCCATGTCTGGGGCGAGCGGGGCTGTGCTGCGGAGGGCTCGGGCAACACAGCAGCAGGGGAGAGGCGGGGGCTTCCTTGGGGCTGTGTGTGTCTACGGAGTTTGGTCCAGCCTCCCAAGAGACCCCGGAGAGTTTCAGAGCATTAGAGCTCTGCTGTTGTCCCGTTGACTTCGCAAATACCCACAGGAAAGCCATCTGCTCTGTGCAGTGAGATCCTTTCCGGATCAGGATGAGCAAAGTGAGTTCTGTGCTGCTCTCCGAAGACCTGCTGGGAAAATCTTTCTGAAGCATCAGAGGGCTAACCCAGGTCTGCCAGGTCCGCTGAGCATGACACCCCGTTCCTGTGCTGTCCCCATGCCCGGGTGTGCCATGATCTCCTTCCTGCTCCGTGACACCACGTGCCAAGTGTGGCTGCTTGGCCTGGTGTGCGAGCGATGGCCCAGAGGTCAGGGAGGGTGACCAGGATGCTCTTCTGGCACTGAGAAACCAGTGGGCACCGTCTAGTGGACCCTGTTTTTAAGAGCTTCCTTCAAGAACCTGTGTCCCTTGGTCACACTGTAGGTCCTTCCTGGCCGTGTGGCATCTCTTCCCATGGGTGTGAGAGCTCTGCCTGGGGTGGGGGGAGCACTGACACTTGGGGTGGTTGCCACCACTGTTTACTAAAACATCTGCCAAGCAAAGAATCATAGACTCATTAAGGTTGGAAAAGACCTCAAGGATCACCAAGTCCAACCATCAACCCAACCCCACCCAACCCACTAACCCATGTCCCGAAGCACCACATCTACACGTTTCTTGAACCCCTCCAGGGATGGTGACTCCACCACTGCCCTGGGCAGCCTGTTCCAATGCCTGAGCACTCTTGCAGTGAAGAAATTTTTTCTAATATCCAGCCTAAACCTCCCCTGGTGCAACTTGAGGCTGTTTCCTGTTGTCCCATCACTTGTTGCTTCAGAGAAGAGGCAGCACCCACCTCACTACAGCCTCCGTTCAGGTAGTTGTAGAGTGACAAGGTCTCCCCTCAGCCTCCTCTTCTCTAAACAACCCCAGTTAGCACCGGCTCGTGGTGGATGGATGCTTATCTCAGCTAGCAGGAGAGAGCAAAGAGGGGCAGAGCTCCAAGCTGGTTGCTCTGCCCTAACCCCCCGCTGCAGTTGCCCTCCCAGCACCTCTCGCAGTGGGGGCTCATTGCAGCCTTCACGGGGTGCAGCTGGATGAGGATCCTGCAGGGCAGGTTTGGGGGAGGAGGGATGCGTCGTGCTGGGGTTTGCTTGTCTCGCTCATTTGTTCCGCATCCTCCCTGATGTTATGTTTTTTTTTTGCTTTTGTGCTTGTTTTAATCTGCTTTTCCCCTCGCACGACCTCAGGAGCGGCTCTTGTGGCTAATAGACCTGATGGAGGTAGGGGCTGTCAGCGAGGCGGGAGCTCGAGTGCTGCGGTTGCCATAGCAGATGGGTTGAGAACGCGTGTGAGCGAATGTGCATCGGGGGGGAGGCAGGGTACAGGCTGCCCAGGGGCCAGCATGCGACCCAGCCGCGTGAACAGCCGCCTCGGTTCGCACATTTCTGCTTTTTCCTCCTGTGGCTCTGCTGAGCCATTCCAGAGTCCCATTCCCCAGCCTGGCTGCAGCCCTTGGTGCTGCAGTGCAGAGACAGGGCTCAGCCTTGAACCAAGTCCAGCTGGTACCAGTCTCCGGCTTGCACTGGAGCCCTGAGTGGCACTGCCAGCTCAGGGCGGGGGTTTTGGAAGGACCAGCGGTGTTGCTGCCTGCTGGACCCCAGACTGTCCATCCTGCCTTGTTCCCTGCTCTCCCTGCTGCTGTCTTGCTGTATGGGCACCCTGGCTAAATACCAGTAGGCTGGTCACATCCCATCACACGTCCTCAGGGATGGGGGAGAATTTTCCTTGCAGTCTTGGGTCTGCAAAAATCTGTGTTCAGTGCAGGAGGGGTCGGAGAGTAGAACAAGAGCAGAGAAACAAGGGAACTCTTCCAGGTCCCTGCCTCATAGTGTCAGGGCCACCAGCACCTGCAGGAGACCACCAGCGCTCCCCATGCCAAGAGGGACATCTGTGTTTTGTCCCAGAAGAGCACTGCTGCTGTGTGACAGACAGGGAAACTGAGGCACAGAGCAGGCAGTGACTGCCAGGAGCCACCCACCATGCCAGGGACACAGCCGCCCACAGTCAGAGGCTCTGCCCTGAGCTCAGGAGCTGTGAACCGTGTGGCTCTGGCTCCACTCATACTTGTAACGGTGCTGTTGGGACTGAGCATGACCCTGGCCAAAGGCAGGCGTGGGTCCAGCACCATCCTGCCTGTTCCCAACCCACCTGTGTCCCCCGTCACAGAGCTGCTCCAGCTCCCCACTGTCCTCGGACCAACTCTGGGACAGGCATGGTCCTCAGGCAACGAGGACAGAGATGGGAGAGACAGAGTAAAGCCACCGCATGGGTGTCATTGTGTCACTCTCAGGACCCCTGAAGTCAGAGAGGTCTGTGCTCAGGGCAGGGCCGGGGGCTCTGGGGCTCCTCCAGCCCCGGGGATGCGCTCTGCGGTGGGAGGGGAGGAAAGCTGGGCTTATTCTCAGACTGGTGCCATCGTTCAGAATCCAAACCCTGCGGGAGCCGGGCTGAGGAGCTCTGCAAAGCTCTCGTTAGCAGTAACTGGAAAATAAGGGACTCGTTTGGAACTGTGAGGTTAATTAAAGGTTGGGTTGTATTCCCCAAGGAGGTGGCAGTTTCTCCACCATTAAATCTGCGGATGGAAGCTGGCTGCCTGTCTGAAGGATGCTCTCCAGCTCCATCGCCCCTGCGAATGGACTCTGTGCAAGACAGGCAGGACAGAGGTTTTCCAGCTGCACCCTGCAGAGGGGCTGGAAGGGCCTCGCCTGGCTTCCAATTTCTGTAACTAGAAAATAGATGGGGTAGAGGAGCAGGGAATTGGTAGGAGGGAGCAGCCTCCTCAATAAATACTCATTTTTCAGAGCAGTGGCACATGGCTTCGGTGGGTCTTTCAAGGGAAATCCAGGAAAGCACAGCCTTAAAATAGGCAATTCCTGAAAGCAAATGTGCTCAGTTTAAAAGCCATTCCATTTTATAGCCCAGAGCAATTCCAATTTAATTGCTTTTGCCCCCAAAGTACTAAGCTTGGGGAAAGGCAAATCTCCTGCTTGCCCACTTGAGGAGAAAAAAGCACCCTGAGGAAGATGAGCAGCGTTAGTGTCCCGGCTGTTCGGGGATAGCAGGATTAGGGTGGTCTCGCCGGGCTGGCAGGGAGGGTGTGGGGGGCAGCTGGACGTGCCCACCCACCCTTTGCTAGCAGGATTCCAGTCTTGGTGCAGACTGGTCCTGACTGTGAGGCTGGGGCCAGGACACGGCACATGATGTGCTCAGGGATGGGCTTGATGTCATGGTGATGGGCACAGAGTTCAGTGGCAGGACCGGGGGAGATGGCACTGACAGATTGTAGGGGGGCGTTGGGCAGACTCTTCTTTTTTAGCAGCGATGTAACTCTGGCTGTTTGATGGCAGGCTGCTCCCGGTCATATCGCAGGGGTCTGCTCCTCACACATTTGCCAACAGCTCAGGGAGCTCTTGGAGGCAGGGTGAGGCTGGTAGAGGCAGCAGGTTAGGAGCACAGCTGAGGTCCTCTCGGATGTGGCCAGGCTGGTGCCGAAATGCCACCGTCTCCACCTTGGCTCCTTTCCTCGTGCACGCAGCCATTTGGCTGGATTAGAGGCTCCAGGCAGCATCTGGGGGTGGGCTGGTGCAGGGGGAGGGTGATGCTTGGGCAGCTTTCTGCAGAGCAGCTTTCTCGTTAGATGAAGTGATGGCAAAAGGAGGGAGCTCTGCAGCAGGAACACCAGCGCAGTTTGGTGCAGTGTACCCAGCGCTGCGTTTTGTCCGGCTGAGCATCTCTGCTCCTTGGTGCGTGATGGCACTTGAGCTCGTGGGCACTTCAATCATATCCTGTTGCTCGTGCGTGCACAGCCCAGAGCAGTTCATGATCATTTTAATCAATATGAAGGCAGGTCACTTCTGAAATAGCCCTGCCTGCCTCTTCCTCCATCCTCAGCCCTAGGGTATCATCCTGTCCATCAGGGCTTGGACTTGCGCAGCCCTGTGCTGTGTCAGGTCTGGCTGTACCCCATCCTTTCTGTTGTTGCTGCCGTGGGTTTTGGCCAAATCACTCTTCTGCCCTGGCTTGGCTGCACTGTCGGTAACCCAAGAACGGGTAGAGGATGTTTCTCTTTCAAAAACCACCTGCCTTTACATCGGATTAATTGATTATGGACCAAACCTTCACCAGAAGGAGTGGTTTCCCACGCTAACACTTTGCTTGTCACTCTCTGAACAGTTTCTTTTAGTTCTCATTCTCCAGGGTTCCTTCTGAAGCCCCAGAGATAAAAGCACTTCCCATCAATGTTTTTGATGCTTCTCTAATGCTCTTAATTGTCTCCCATGTCTATTTTGGGATGCTAACGTCTTACAAGGCACAGCAGCAGCTTCCAGCAGCTGGGGGAGATGCAGATGCACCAGCATTTCAACTCCTGGGTTGTTTACCCTGCAATAAATAACACCCAGTTAAACACAAACTGTACCCTGCCTGTTCCAGCACAAGTGAACAAACATCCCTGTGCACGTGACACAAACGAAGCACACCCTTTCCGAGCAGCAGCAGCACCCCTCCAGATCAGGACTAACTGTGGGAGGGTGGTGCTGAGTCTGGGTTTGCTCTTGCAGGGGAACCAGGGGGAGCTGGGGCTGTGCACCACCGGCAGAGCATCCCCAGGACTGTGCCTGGTGCCTGCTGGGGACAAAGCCAGCCCAGGCTGGCTCTGGGCTAGACTCAGGACCAGCTGGGCTCAGCCTTGTCCAGGGCCAGGCATGGCTCTCCAGGGCACAGCTCCACACCCAGCCTCCGCTGCAGCCCCCCCCATTTTGCCATCCCTGCTGGTGCTTAGCCAGGGTGCCCGTTTGCTCTGCTTGCTGTACCCACCTCCTCTCCTTGTGTCTGTCCTGATTGACACCTGCCCTGCGCAGACAGACAGATTCCCATAGCTGCCTTGATTTCTGGAGCTGTGGTGTGTTCAGAGCTGTGTGGTGACGTTTTCTAGTGACGTTTTGACTCATAAAGGGAAAGCAGTGGCAGCAGCTCCTGTTTGTATCTGACACCAGCTGCTCTGGTTTGCAAGGGAGGGAAGTTTTAAACTTTTCTATTGTGCTTCACCTGGGAAAGATCCAAGTATTGAACCTGCAGCTCTCTGGCCTGGTTCCTCCCCTCCCTCCAAGTTAAACAGGCGGAGCTGAGATTTGGGTGAAGAGGAGCACTCTCCTCCGCTGCAGCAGAAATCACCCCAGCAGGTCAGGCTCTCGGCATCCTTTGAGCACCCTCCTTAGCTTGGGAGAGTCTGTATCCTGACCAAGCTGCTTTGCTCGTATGATGTGTGAGTCTCCCAGGAACCTCCCAGGAAAGGTTTGGGTGAAAGACTGGCCTTGCGTGGGGGGGTTTGGGCAGTGCCCTGCATCCCTCTGCATGTTCCCTGCCGTGCTGGGCGCTGCAGTGGCTGCTCCTTGCTGCTGTGACCAGGTTTTCTCTTCCTTCTTTGCCTCATCAGAACACATCGGAATTGGAGGGAGGTGCAGACGGCCACCAAAGCAGTGTCAACACCCTGCCGGACATCTCCTTGGTAAGACACGGTGCTTCCGTGCCTCAGATGGGAGCTGAGGCAAATTGATGATACCAAGTTTTGCCTTGGCTTCTGTAGCTCTTTGCTACGTCACCTGCCATGGATGTCACTGAAGCAAATTAATCAGACCAGTTAGGAAGCAGGATTCTGGCTGTCTGAATAAGAGCAGTGTCTGTGCAAACCAGAGCAAAAGTTGGGTACTTTATTCTCTAAGTCGTCCTCATTTGTGAGTTATATTCTTATTGCCAATAAGGTCAGAGAGGTGTTTCTGTGAAAATCAGCTCATTTTGTCATGGTCACTGTTAGAAGGCAGATGCAGGTGGGGCCTGGGGAAGTTCTTGCAGCTGAGGACAGTGTCTTAAAGGCTTCTGTTCTTGCTTTGGCAGGATGATCTCTCCTCCTTCCCAGATGAACCGCCCAACTTCAAGCCTCCTCCTCCTCCTTCAGCCCCTCAGATGCTGGACCCCTCTGCTGCCCAGCACAGGAACGCAGGGAAAGACAAGCCCAAGCGCCCTTCCTCCGAGTCCTCTCAGTCCGGCCTCTTCTTCGTAGCCCCCCGAAACCCCACGCCCCCTCCTAGTCACCCTGAGAAGGACACAATCAGCATGACCTCCACTGCTACCACGTCTACAGAGGAGTCTGCCCCAAGCCCCATCTACGCCACCATTTCCCCAGCCCTGCACAACTCCAGGAGGCAGATGGATGGAGCCCAGCTCTCCTTGCTCAG